GTATTTAAAAATACAGCGGGGGCAAAACTGAGTATGACTGTGCTTTATTCATGTATTTATTAAAAAGTATTAATCAAACCTGGCAGCTGGCCGTGAGACAGACACATCGCAGATGACACAGCGCTGTGATCACTCCTAAATTAACTTAAAATCCTGAAACCTGCCGACGGAATATGTTCGCTTTTATGGGTGCCTGCAGTTTAAATTATTTAGATGAAAAACACCTGCCATCCACCGCGTGAACCCGGAGGCTACCCAGCCTAGAGGCTGCTGATGAAAGGATTTCTACTGTCGGCGCACCGCTGGTATGTGGGGGTCTGAGCGCCTCCGACAGAAATAGATAATCTGGATGAACTGACTGCAATTATTAAGTTTTCAGGTGGACTTTCTCACTTAAAAACATAATAAAACTACTTAATTCCCACTGATCACAGCAAATATAGCTGCAAGATTTAGATTATTTAGATGAAAAAACACCTGCCAGCCACCGCGGTGAAGAGGAGAAGACCCGCCCAGAGGCTGCTGTTGAATTAAGTTTTCAGGTAGAAAAATAGAGCGGGAGCAAAACTAAGTATGATTGTGCTTTATTCATGTATTTATTACAAAGTATTAATCAAACCCATCAAAGTCATCATCCTCTGTTTCTGAATAAAACAGCTGCGCTAAATCAGACATGCCAATTTCCCCTTCTTCGCTGTCAGTCACTTTCCGTGCAGCGCGGCTCCTCAGAAATAATGCCTGCTTTTGCGAAAGCTTGAACAACAGAGCCAGCAGACACGTTAGTCCATCTACAATCCATCCGCAAACTGTGGCGTAACTTGCCCGGCGCTGCCTTCCACTTATCGTGAAACTGTGGTCTCTGTCGGCCATCCATCGCTCCCACGCCGCTCGCAGCCTTACTTTGAACGGCCGCTTCACACCGATGTCGAGCGGTTGAAGCTCCTTTGTCAGACCCCCCGGGATAACGGCGAGCACAGCGTTAATTTGATTCACCTTTTTTTTCACATCGGCTGTGAGATGGGCACGCAGCGATGGTGATGCGTGGAAAAAAGCACCTGGTCTCCTCACATAGGCTACACCTCCCTCAGCCACGCTTTCATCATCTCCTCATCCATCCAGCCCGTTTCATTTGCGTTAATATCATATGTCATCAGAGCGCTGTGTCTGTCTCGCTGTCAGCTCCCAGATCAGCTTCTCTGATTGGTTGATGCGGTGCGACCAGCAGCAAAACTTCAATTTTTCCATCTCGAGCAGCAGCAGCGCGTTGGCAGATGCTTAAACGCTCCTGCTGCTCAAAACGCGCTGCAGGACCTTTTTCTGCACCTATACGCGTGTCAACCATTGACTTTGCATGTAAACTCGCTGCTTCTGCTGCACCTGCTGGGTCCGGTTCACACCGATGTCGAGCGGTTGAACAGCGAGCACAGCGTTAATTTGTTTCCCCATGTTTTTCACATCAGCTGTGAGATGGGCACGCATGGAGTTACATTTTAACAGCGATGGTGATGAGTGGAAAAAAAAAAACACCTGGTCTCCTTACATTTAGCCACTCTTTCATCATCTCCTCAATGAGGTGGTCTCAAAAGTCGCAGTTACAACACTCATAGGGCGCACCGCACCATAGGGCGCACATTGGCGCACACTGCACATTTTGAGGGGAAAAAAAGACGTTTAAGTGCGCCTTATAGTCGTGAAAATACGGTATATGTAAAACTTACTGTATGTATCATAAATACACATCATTATGGAAAATGGATTATATGTGTTCATCCTTATGTTTAACAACGACCTTTGGTGGATTATTGCAACACATTAGTTTATTTTTTGGGAAATACAACTGGATGTTAATTTTCTCTAGAGTGTTAGGGACAATATTAGCCTACTTTTGACATGTTTGTGTGTGTTTAGGACCGCCAGAATCCAAAACACACATTGCCAGGTCATATGCGGGGTTTCACTTTGATATGAGCGTGATGTTTGATGTATGGTTTGAGATAAAATAACTAAATACCCTATATAAGCCAACCCAAAAAAGGCAGTGACTCTGCGCTCACCTTCCATAATGTTCACCCTCTCTAGAATACGTTTCCAAACCTTTTAATGATAATCAGATGTTTCTGTTGAATGAGATGGGCCTTTTTATTATTTTTCCTCTGCAGCAGTTTAGGCTCTCCTCCCATGGATGCTGATTTTGTGCGAGATGTAGGCCTATATCATGCAGTCTGTTGTCAGGTGTCCTGTATTGTTATTATCTGATCCCTGTGAGACACTTAGCCCATGTCAATCTCAATTTTAAAACAAATGTCTCAAACTGTTCACAGCATTTTGAGGCTTTTAAACTCTCCCACCATCTACCCGCTGACAACAAACATACAACCGCCCACATGTGCTCACTAACACCTGGAACACCCCCAGGTAGCTTCAGGACGATGGTATATTCCTTCATGTGTTGTCATAGTAACATCACTGAGAATTTCTCTCTTGCAAACTCATTACATTAACTCTCAATCACACACATATACACATACAAATGATAAAACATATCCTGCTTTGACAGGTCTATAGGCTGTTATTTTTGTTTTGTTTTCAAGACTGTAAAACTCTACCTTATATTTTCCAGTGAGGCAACATTCCTAGTAACCATCTGATGTTCAATAAAAATAAAACACTCTGACCGCTCAGAGGAGCGCATGTTTATGTGTGTCTTTGTTTGATGAGTGTGTGTGTGGGCGCCATGCCGAGAGAGCACCTGAGGGGGGGGCACTCCAGCCTGCAGAGTTTGGCTTGGGACTATCTGTATCCACCACTCTGTTTTATGTCTGTCTCTTTCTGTGTGTGTTGAGGTGAGTGTTTTACTCCATGACAAACATCTATTGGATAATTCACCCAATAAATGGGGTCTGTGTGTGTCTATCTTGTGTGTTTGCTCACACATATAATGGACCGCAAAGTGAGGAAGGTGGGTGAGTTGGCAAATACAGAAAGAGATGTTGAATACAGTGAAGATGAAAGAATACACACGTTGTTTTTTTTGGGGAGAAATCTGAATCATCCATCTGATTTTTTGGAAAGATACGTCTACACACAGCTCAAAGATCTTTTTAAGTTTTATTTTTGGAGATTTATTTCATACCTATTGATGGTTATAGACAAACAATATTTTTAAACAAGGCTGTTATCCTCTTTTTTTCAAAGTTACTACAGAGTGTAACAATGAGAGCCCTTTCAAAATCTTTTTGTGCTGCTATGCACACTAATCCCTCAATGTGGTAATGCAGCCAACCTTGCCTCTGCTCTCATTACATCATTAATAGAGGGACCAGAAGGATGTTTAAAAAAAAAAGCAAACAGAGAGGCTGTAAAAGTAAGGTGAATTGTAGAAGCTGGGTGACCTTAGACAGAAGCACACAGGGGGGGATTATGAGATAAGTTATGGAGAAAGGAAGGGGGAATACAATGGCTTCTTTATGACTGTAGAAACTTTACCTAAAATAAGTTAGGTCAGCTTTGGCAAAAATTCAACCAAACATTTTGATGAGGATCATGGTATTTAGTTGTGGATAAAATTTAACATTGAAATCTTCTTCGCAATATTGATATATGCAAAACTGCAACTGAAAAGAACTGGTTTGATTCGATAGTTAATGACGAAGTACATTGGATTCATGCACTGGATCCTCATCCGTATAATTTCATTGTCTATTTACCTTTTAAAATTTTTGGAAAGGTTTGATGATATTATGATTTTTGCCAAGTTCTGATTTACACTGAAGCAGGTCATTGTATTAAACGTATAGCGGAGGATTTTATTCCAAATTTTTGAAACACTAACAAAAATGCACATGCACAACCCTGTATCCGCTCTCTAGAGGGAACGACTATTAAACGTGTGCAAGAGCATGCCCAGGCCCATTTCTCCTCGTGCACGCTCTGTTTCAAAGTTGCTGTTTGCATCACTTATACAAGCTTACTTTCCAAAAGAAGATTTGCAATTTTTTCACAATGTCGGACTCACGACTGGTAAGTCAAAATGGGGACGAGCACAAAGGACGGCCTTACGTAAACATATCACGAGAATGATGGATAATTAGGAGGACCACTTATTTTGATGATCCACCCAGATAAAGAACATCCTTTACTATACCTTTAAATGGAGGCAGGCTATGGATTTTTTTGAAGGAAACACTAAAACAAGATGCCTCCATCAACTGCCAACAGAAATCAGCAGACCAAGATAAGACTGTGTACGTCCTCAAGCCTGGATCCTCCTTTGGAACTATTTCCAGACTGTTAGCGGTGTCACATTCAAGTATGTAAACCCCACAAAAAGCTGGTTTAGAGTGAGTACTAAGAGGTAATTTTCTTCCTTAAAATACTGCAAAAAGCAAACAAATGAAGAGATGGCTTGATTAAAAGGATCAGAATTGTGCCAAAAAAGAAAAGCAAACAAGAAAGTGAAAAAGTTGAGAAAGAAATATCACCAGCAGTGTAAACAGTGTTGAAGTTGTTTGCTTGAACACTGCAACTAGCAGATGGACGGTAGATAAAAATAAACACATGGCCTTGGGGAGAAGGAGATGGACGAGAAGAAGGGAAGATCAAAGAAAAAGGAAAGAATATGGTGAAATGTAAGGGGTAGATTGTGGCAAAGATAGAAATTGAAAAAATGATAGAGATGGTGAGAAAGTGAGAGTGGGAGGACATGGCACATTGAAAGGTAGGACCTTCATTATGCAATAAGGACAGAAACACAAACAACACACACAAAAACACACATAAACTGCTAATGTGCTCTTGTTTGGACGCCTACGCAACCAAAACACACAGAAGCACAGATGCAGCTAATTCGGGGAGGATTGCCCAAATTACACAAGGCAGGATTGCTCTAGCAAACGACAGCATGCTCTCCAATCTGCTGACCTTTGAACAGGGAGAGGACAACGCCTAGGGGAGACTGTGAGGGACACAGGAGGAGGAGGAGGGAGACAAAATGTACTGACCATGATGCCTGTGAGCAGACAGACTCCTTTGCCACAGTAGGTGTGAGGGACCATGTCTCCATAGCCGATGGAAAGAAAAGTGATAGAGATGAGCCACATTGCTCCCAAGAAGTTACTGGTCACATCCTGGGCATCATGGTACCTAAAGAATAAATGAATAAACAATACAATGAAAAACATCAATAAAGGTTTAAGTACTATCTCTTAATAAATTTGTGTATATTAAGTAAAATAACTTTTTACATGAAAACCGCAGAGCGTTTGTAATCTGGCTCACGGAGGTTATCATTCCTAGAATCAGGTATGATTGATTTCACCAGATTTTCATAGCTTAAGAGTGAAAACTTAAAATATATCAAACTTTGCCAGATTATTTGTAGCTTTTCCTTTTAAAATCTTCCCAGAGATCTGCTGTTGAATATAGCTCTGGACATTAAATGGACCATTATAACTTGTGAATATTTATGTGATATAGGTAAACCTTTGGCCTAAATTCAAGTCTTTTGAAGCATCAAAGTTTTCTTCCAGTGTTGTCCTCTAATTAGTACCATTTATCATCCCATCACCTTTGACCAGTTTCACTGTCAATAATAGGGATAGTATAGACTGGCCAACCGGACTGACTTATACAGGGCATACTATAAGTCAGTCTGGTAAGACTCAATACTCTCCGGTCTAAAAAAGACTGGATCAATCACAGCGTGGAGGGCGGGTCCATAATATCACAGTGACTTTCTGTAACAATAACAGTCAAGACTGCAGTTGAAATGGAGCAATGTTCTATTGTTAACCTTTATCATGGCCTGAAAAAACTGTTTGCATTATGAGAGCTTTTCTTCAAAAAGTGATGCTTTTGCATGATTGGTTTGAACCTGATGACACATACTCTGTTAATCTCACCTTTGATAATGATCTCTACCAGCTCTTTACCAGACTGACAATATGGACAAAACTAATACTTCATTATATTGATAGACAGGATATCATTTTAAATTCACATAAAAAAAAAAATAAAACCTTGCAGAAAAGAATATCCACTAGACGAATCCTACATAAACCTAACAATTATTTTACCATGTTTGCAACATTAATCCAATATAACACTACAATCTTTTTTTTTCAAACCAAAATACATAAAACTAAACAAAAACAGAAAATCAGTCAGTGAAAAATACCTAATCATAGATTGGAATGTGTATTGAAATTTCTGACCTGTGATTTCACAGCAGTTGAATAATTATATTTTGATATATATTAACGCATTATTCCACCCTAAGTACTCGGATGTTGAGGACTCAAGTGTGCCTGAGTATGTGGGAGCATTAATAGTATTATTTTTGATAGATTCTTCAAACTACATTTTGGATGCAGGTTCTTCTGGGACGCATGGTTCTTTTCTTTGTTTCTGTTGACTACGATTTTGGAACATTTTCTAGGGTGACAAACCCCTGCTTTAAAGACCTCTACAGGTAAATTTACCTAAAAAGGCTTAAACTTTCTCCAAATATTTCTCTCTGACCTGTCTACTCTGTTTCTTAGTCTCTGTAAGAAACCAATGAGGTCTTCCTAAGCAGCTGTATTTATACTGAGATTAAATTACACCTGGGAGCTGGTTGTACCCTCTGAAATCGAAAAATTTATTTATAGTTACAGAAAGGGAGCTCCTTTTTTAAAAAAAACATTTCACTCTAAAAGTCCAATCAAATACTTTGATATTTATTGCTGTGAAGTGATAAACTGTCAAACAGTTCAAAGGAAAGTATGTGAATAATGCAAAACACTGAAATAACAGTCAAACCTGACATGCTCACTGGCTCAGTCTGCAAATGTGGGCGTCAAAACTAAAATACGTGTCCTGCTATTTTTCCTAGCACTGAATAAAATACATTACTGCAACTACATCATTCCTGTTCCCATAGCTACCAAAGCCAGTACAGATAAAAAAAAAAAAAAACTGCTTCTCTTTCAGGAAAACTATTCAACACACACAAAAAATTGTAACCTTGGTAGTTTGCTCTAAACACTATACATACATTCATAGCAAAGAAGTTTTTTTATTAACAAATTCTTTACACATTCTTTTAGTGAGTTTAAACTCTTTTAGTATAAACCTAATTTGCAGAGGAGAGAAAATGTCAATTAAAGATGGATGTGAAGTCAGGCAGCCCAGAAGCCAGTCAATGATGTCTTTAATCAAGCTTATTAACCAAGTGACATTTCCTGTTATCTCTGAGATTATCTTCAAACGCTTGAGAACTCATCAAAACAGTGAGTCATTTCTCACCTTCTATGCAATGCTACATCAGAACCATTACACAACTCATGAAGTTAAATTACCATCCGTTAAATGCAACAGAGCCATGTGATACCACATGAAACACTTCTTAAGAAACGGTTTTTCCAACATCTGGAAGCTGAGCCAGCATCAGTATTCAGCAGAGTGAAAAGTTTGACAGTGTAATAAGAAGAAATGTGTCTTTTAGAATGTGTATGTAAGGAAAAACAGCTTACCATGTAACTTCGGCAAATATTTAAATATGTCATTTAAAATCAGCTGATCATCAAATAAATAGCAGTTATCAGCGTTTATCAGTGCCATGGAATGAAATAATAATTGAACTTTATTGATCTCACATTGGAGAAATTTACTTCTGCATTTAACCCATCCCCTTAGACAGGACAGGGGGCGCCCGATGAGGGTCTCGCTCACAGAGCCAGAGTGCCAGTCTGTGCGAGTGGGGCTCGAACTCAGAACCTCAGGATTCCAGGCTCTGTGCTCTAACCACTTGGCCGCCACTCCCCCTGGCTCCAGTAGTTTTTCGTATCATATCCAGATTATGGCTGATAATAGCTGCTTCAACCACTTCTAAAACCGTTCCACTTTCTCTTTACCTAATTTATATTTTTTATCTACTTTATTGACAGGCTATATTCTTTTATAAAAACTACATTTAAAGATTTTACTTTAAGTGAATTCAACATGTTTCAGTCACATGGATTTAATGTGGGGTCTAAAAAAAAATTCAGTTGACAGACGAGCGACATGCAAATCACCTTTTTTATTTTATTTATTTTTTTTTTACAATACCTGAAGAACTACTAAAATTATGTTCACATTACACATAAATACATTTATTAATTCTTTGGCTAAAAAAGGAATTACCTTAGTGTTAGGATTGGATTTCATTTGGTGATATCAACCTACTGAGCATACTGATAGGTAGGAGGCACAATCTGAAGCCTTTCTATGGGACTAATAACTGCTAATTTACAGCCATTTATTGGGATTATAACATCTAAAGCCGCTGTTTGAAATAGAGGCCCATTACTCTTGCTGCTTGTGTGAATTATTTCATGCAGCCAGAAGTACTCCTGGAGATATAAAAACCTCTTAGGTTTTATTTTAGCTAGGTTTTATTTTTCCTGAATTTTAAAATAATGCTTCACTAGCAATTCACCAGGCCACCTATAAAACTTTGCAGCTGAGAGAAAGAGCTTTGAGTCTCATTCCCAGACTGCGGCGTGCACTTCCTATACTGTTTGATTATAAGAAAAAAATTATTTTATTGTGTTTTTTTTAAATACTTTTTAAAACTTTATATTAGGAACCACATTTTAATGAAACCATATGGTATGTTTTTTTAAAAAGGGATCTGAAAACAGTGTTTTTATCTTAAATCTTTGATGAGCATCTTATTAAAAGAAAGGCTTAGTCCAAATAAATTTTTCATATTTTTATCTGAATGAATTTTTCTTCATGTCTGACAACTTTACAGTGAAGTAATCATAATGCTGCTTTAAATAAGCAAAATAAACTCAAAAACATATTCTTTATAACTCAACTTATTTCCAAAAGAAAATAAAGCAAGTCTATCAAACATTTTGTTAGTAATGTCTTTTGCACTGAAGTTGTACTGCTGCTGATATGAGTTACATTTAGCCAGTCTTATTGGTTTAACAAGATAGAGAGTTAAGACTGTCTCGTATTTGCAATGTTCTGTAAGTTAGCATAATTTAAAGATAATATAGCAACTGAAAGAATTGGAGCTGTTAATGTGAAGTGATCTTTTTCAGTATAGACACAATATCTGCATACCATGGATAAGGTTTCATGGTTATCTGATAAATACAAGAATATTCATCTGTACATTGCTTGTGTAAATTCTTTAGTAGGGTCAAAATAAAGTTGCAAGGTGATAATATAATAAATACACAGAAGTTTGTGGATTTTCTACCACAAAATGCAAAACCTCAAGTGATGCAACAACTTTCATCAGTGTGTAAATTCTTACTTTTGTTTAAACAGAATAATCAAAGAAATTTGCCAAACCACTGACTGAAACAAATTGAAAATATAATCCCGAAAATAAACACACATTCCGATGTTTCCCATATTTTTAATTTCATTTTTTTCTGCCAAATGCAATGGTAAACTCACTTTAACATAATATCCACATCTATTTACAGTCAAAAATGCTAAGTTCTCTACTGACCTCTCACACACTCGTACAGTCCAGGCAGCGATGATCCAAAGGGAAATGCTGAAGACCAGCAGCACCGTCCCGGGGCAGATGGTCATGAGGGTTTTCATTACAAACCTTGTGTTAAAATGGACCTGAAATGCACACAATTGCAAAAACACACTTTCTAAATACATTGGTGTTGATAAAGGACAGAGTAGAGCTGACTGAATCTAAAATAGTTATCCTATGATACTCTAAATCTTCAACTGGAAAGTAAAAGATCACAGCCTTTTCTAATTAGTGGGACTCTGACAAACTGAGAGCAAAGGGAGTAAAGAGCAGGTCTTGACCTCCATCTTTGGTCAAGCTTTACAGTGTCTTTGAGTAATTGGCCTGTTTCTGAGTAGCTGTTAAACGTGAGTCATTTGTCAATAAGAGGCAGACGGTGAGGTTCTGGCAGATGGATCATTTGATGGTTGTGCCCTGAAAGGATAAAGGGGACGATAAATGAGTTGTCATTTTAGAGCAGAATTTCAGTGGCAGCTTCACCTCCTCTCCTTGTCACTGTGAGCCTTAGGGCCAGAGGAATGTCATCATATTTACAGCAGCAAACTGTTAAATTACTAGTTTGAAGTCTGATTCATCTGTACATTGCTGTTCGGCCTGTTTTACACCTGGTTGGCTGATAGATGATAGATGAATGGATGGGTGGATGCATAGGTGGGTGAAAGGATGGATGAATGGATGGATGAATGGATGGATGGATGGATGGATGGATGGAAACATGGATGCATGGGTGGGTGAAAGGATGGATGAATGGATGGATGGATGGATGGATGGATGGATGGATGGATGGATGGATGGATGGATGGATGGATGGATGGATGGATGGATGGATGGATGGGTGGATGGATGGATGGATGGATGGATGATAGATCGATGTATGAATGAATAGATTGATGGATTTATGGGTGGGTGAAAGGTTGGATGATGGATGGATGCATGAATGGATGCATGGATGGATGGATTGAAGGATGGATGAATAGATGGGTGGATGGAAGGAAGAATGGATGGATAGATGAATAGATGGATGAATGAATGGATGGGTAAATGGATGGATAGATGAATGAATGGATGGGTGGATGGAAACATGGATGCATGGGTGGATGGATGGATGGGTGGAGGGATGGATGGATGGATGATAGATGGATGTATGAATGGATAGATTGATGGATGCATCAGTGGGTGAAAGGATGGATGATGGATGGATGCATGAATGGATGGATGGATAAATGGATGGATGGATGGATGGATGGATAAATGGATGGATGGATGGATAAATGGATGGATGGATGAATGGATGGGTGAATGGAAGGAAGAATGGATGGATGCATGAATGGATGGATGGATGGATGGATGGATGGATAAATGGATGGATGGATGGATGGATGAATAGATGGATGAATGATTGGATGGATAAATCGATGGATAGATGAATTAATGGATGGATGGATGGATGGATGGTGGATGGATGGAAGGATGAATGGCTGGATAGATGAATAGATGGATGAATGAATGGATGGATAAATGGATGGATAGATGAATGAATGAATGGATGGATGGATGGATGGATGGATGGATGGTGGATGGATGGAAGGATGAATGGCTGGATAGATGAATAGATGGATGAATGAATGGATGGATAAATGGATGGATAGATGAATGAATGAATGGATGGATGGATAGATGAATAGATGGATGAATGAATGGGAGGATGGATAAATGGATGGATTTAACGTTTTGATAATGGGGCAGGAGACAAACATTATTCCATATATGAATTTTCACAATTGATCAAATCAGGTTTCATATTCTTCTAGACATTCTTCTAGACATTCCATGAACAGACAAAACTTAGGGTCTGAAGTTTTTCCTTATTCCACACTTAAAAAAATGTATCTGCACTTCTATCAAAGTGCATCTTGGTAAATGTTTCACATAATTTCCTAATAAACATTATGCTAGAGAGTTTAAGCTTCCAGATACTGAGAAATATGTTATTAGTTTTTTTTTTTTTTTTGTAAATAATTTTCTAGAGAGACTGGTCACTTATCTTATCCTTCCCCAAATCCCACTGGTTCTCTTGCTTTGAACAATAACATCAATAGGTTTAGTGTGATGTCAGGCTCACATCCTTTTTTTATATATATATGGGACTCAGTTAACTGCTATATGCTTTATTCACTACTCTGCAGTTGTTTCTCATTTCAATTTTTCTTTTTGACTTTTGCTGGTTATTAGCTCTGCAACAAAAATTATGTGTTAAATTCAACCTTACAAATAATAGAAAGATGGATAAAATCATCAAGCGACTGTTGAAGTACCACTAAAGGCAGCCCAACAGTTTGAGAGACATCAATTTTTTGCATGATTTGCTCAGTTATTCCCCCATTTCCATTTTCTAAATTCATTCCAGTCTTCAGTTTTTTATGGCCCCTCTGAGCCGTATGCAATAACATGTTCTCACTCGATACTCTCATCTCATACTGTATTATGAAAAATTTACAAAAGCTTAAGTCTTAGGCTCTAAGCACAACAAAAACAGAGAGGAACAACAACCTGATGAAAAAAACTTATGAACAGGAGTGCAAAATAGAGGAAGGAGCTCTTATAATAAGAGACAGAAGCTCTTGACATCTGTGGCCTAAGATTTCCACCACTTAAGTCGAGTTAAACCTTGAAGGAAACCACACTCTTGAATCCACTGAAGTTTTCTAACCTTATTTAGGGCACCTATACTCCTAGAGGAGGCATCAGTGAAGAGTTTGCTGTGCAGAAGCATGACTCTGGCGATGAGGTAGAGGCGCAGGAACATGGGCACGCTCAGCACCATGTCCAGGTCAGCCTCGGCATGTGAAGGTGAATATGAGAAGGCCAGCCGTGCCCGCCAGTGGAACTTAAAGTCCCCTGGCACAGGGTGCACTGCAGACACCAGCAGCTCCAGGGCAATCAGCAGAACCCTCTCCATGGTCATGGCAATGCGCCAGTCGTCTGCTCCGTTGTCTATGACGAATAGCTGTGGGGACAGTAAGGACACGGCGAGAGTCAAGTCAGTAAAAAGAATGGGACGATTCTTAATAGCTGTTTGGGAAAAGAAAAAGAAAAAAAAAAGCTAATTTTATGATGAACCTCTTGTGGCAGAATTCTCTCATCAGACTGGCTTCATGATTATAGATACCAGCAGCAAATCTAAGTAAATGTCTTTTCTACAATGTAAAACATAATCCATTTAATCAGCAGTTTAGTCTCGTCGCAGTCCTCTGGCTCATTTTCATATAACCTGCGAGACTTATCTATCTCAAATTAAACCACAGATGCTGAGTCATGTGGAGTACCAGCTCTGATGTAAAAGCTTTCTAATTACTGAATGACTTCTTTTTTTTTTTCAAACAAAAAATGCTATTGTTTTTATGATTCCATGCAAGTCTGAGTGCTGTGGCTATAAAATGAAGAAAAATAGCAGGTGAAAAAAGCAGAACATCACCCAGAGACCTAAGTATGTTGTGTCCATATATGGTCAGTTCACAAAAACCCTCATTACAAACAACATAAATGTATTGTGTGGCATACAAGTATAAAAAATAAAGCTCTGACAGAAGGTTCTGTCAGGAATTTAAGGCAAAGGTCAGTAGGCTGAAATTAGAAAGAGAGTAATGCCTCCTGAATGTGAAGATAAAGTAATTTTCTATGTAATTTGATTCAATATCTTAGAAAAGTTAAAGCTGAATTTATCGGATAAAACATTTAATACTATTACTTTTGTTTAGATGGAAAGCTTTTTTGTTTTAGCTCTCCATATTCATTGTATCCACAGGAAGTATCTGTCCCTAAATACAAATACAGACATTTAACACATTAACATTTATAGACAATATTATTGGAACTTCAGCAAAATTACAATACCAGAAACAATAAGTGAAGAAGATGATTATATCTTTCTTGTGGATGGATCATTCATTAATTTCCTGGAAAGATAGATGATTATAGCCAATTATCCTGCTGGTCTGATCAATCATCTGAATCAATTTGGTCTGTTAAACTGAGAGGTTTACTGCATATGGATGTTATATAAAAAGAGAGAACACAGCAAATAACCTAAGTGATCTTACTGATGTTGACGCATCTCAATGTCAAAGGAGATGATTCTTTTCTTAAAGATTCATATGTAAATAAAAGGAATGTGGCCTACTATTTAGAGCAGAGTGCTTCCATTCTGAGAAGGATGCAAGAAACGGGTTCAAACCCCACAGCCTGCTACTCTGACTCCCTAAGAAAGTTTTTTTCCCCCACTTTCAATCCCCCTATGGGATGGGTTAAATGCATATGTCATATTTCGCTGTAATGTATTCTTGCAAATGACCAGTGATGTTTACATTCCATATCCTTATAAACATGGCCTGAAATTAAAACAAAATTTTTTGTTGATTTTCAGAATCACTGTGATGTGACCTCTGTGATGTATTGAAGGACAAATAGAAAAAAAAATTATATGTATAAATAAATAAAGTAATGAATAAATGTATCATTAAATTATTAAGTATGCATTTTAAATTATTCAAATTAGTACATTTCATATTTTGGATATAATCCTATTCAAAAATATATATAAGTATTTCATTCTGTATTTATTAACCCTTTTCTGTATTTTTAAAATTGGAATAATATACTGAAATAGAGGTTTAACAGATTGCCAAAATGGGGTCAACAGTCTCCGCCAATTTCATTTTGGGTTTGGAAATTAATGTTTGGGAACCCCTGCTTTAATGAGTTTAAAACTGGTATTAAGTAAGCGTATTAGGTAGTAATGCCTCAGTGCTGGCACTTATTAAAAACATCCCTGAGCGCCATTTACTAAAAGCCTTTAATCGTAACCAGTGAGTGGTAGCTGCAATGTCATGCTGTCTTGTGTGAAATTTAAAAGGTAATCTGGTATGTCCATGTTGCTTACTATGTGCTGAGGTGATGTTGGATATCTGTGTATTTTTCCATGTTCTGCTGAACAGAATCTCACCTTCAAACAGAAGTTATGCTGAGGCAGGCCAAATTACTTTAATCTTTTCCTGTTTTAAAAACTTAACTAAATAAACTTAATCGCTAACGCTTTCTTTTACAGAACATCAATGACCATGTAATAACATGGTAATAACATAGCAAGTCACACTATATTACTTGGTGACAAGAAAAAAAATATTTGGTAACTACCCCAAAATTAAGGTATATAATTTTAAAGTAATTACCTGCATGTAATTATTATAATTGTATGTTACTATGTAACAATGGAGACTTTTGGTGGGTAATTACAATTAGGGTACCACATAGTTTCTATTATTTTCTACCACCTACCAATGGTTTACAAAGTAAATTGTAACTTATGATCAGGTAACTAAAGCATTCTAAAACTGAAGTCAAGTTACATATAAATAAGAGTTTAGTTTAGAAGATTAGCTTGTTGTCTTCTAGGTGTTGTTTTCTGTTATATGCCATGTAATAAACTGCATCTTACTAGATAATAACACATTCATTTTTTGCGTTTGGTGAAATTAATGAGTTACCTGGTAATAACGGTAATAACGGTTTGAAATCTTGAAGTCTGACATTACCTTGTCTGCTTGAAATTTGAAGCACGGCATTTATCAAAATTCTTCATTAAGTTTTTTTCTTGTTACCTACTAATATAGTGTAAGTTAATATATTATTATTATGTTATTACATGGTTATTGATGTACTGTAAAATAAAGCAATACCAATTATATTGAAGCTAGGAAAGTGGTAATGTTGAACCTTAAACCATGGTAAGCCACAAGACAGGAAAAGTGCAGAAACAGATACTGGGAAAGACGTGGATTAAAGATCCCGATGTGAAGACCTGTACTCTGGATGGTGGCATGGATGATGAACAGCTGGTTGACTGCTTCATAACTATGAGGCACCCCAAATAACAAATACACACACTAAGAGTCGGTGGGGTTGTTATCATACATCCAAACATATACATCAGCAGATTTAGCTCTAAGGCTTGTGTATTTTTGTCTACCTTACATCTATAAACTTTAAATAAGATGAGGGATAAATACATATACTTGTTTTAGACTCAGGAGGCCTGTCTCTTTAAATTATTTTAAATAAGGTAATAAGCCTCAACCTTTTTTTAGCTTAAACATTTTAAAGCAACCTGAAGCAAAATTGTGTAAAAGCCAGAAAATAAATAAAAATAAAGTAAATCGCTGTGTTTAATGATAAACATTTTTCGCAGAGTTAACTGCAGTACGGCATAAAGATCTCACCTAACAGATACAAACTGCATTTTTATATCATAAGGAGTTAATTTACCTAAATACAATGAAGAATATGCTGATGGATAAAGTATTTGGTTATAATCTTCCATTAGCCAAATAAATCTCTTGGCTCTTTTACTTGATGAGTAAATTGATGTCAAGGGAAAATTGTGGAGCTCAGCCAAGAAGAAAGCTTTATCCTGCTAATTTTCTTGGAAAACAGATATTAGCTTGATTTATTTTATTTTTTTTTAGTGTAGGCACTTACTCAGTTATACCTCTGTGGATGACCCAGATTTTGTGCACATCCTGTATGTTCCTACAGCACATTTCCTATTAGGTATACTACTATAAAAATTTTACGTAAAGCTTAAATGTGTTTTCCTAAACATACACAATTGCTTCATGTGTTTTTATAATTTTTTTTAACACAAATTTACATTAAGTGTTTACTAATTACGTTCACCGCAACTTTCATTCCGATGTTCCCTACAGAGAGTATTTATCATTTGTTGTTGTCCTCCAGAGTGAAATCAAATTTCTGGCCTCACTAACAGCGTTCCTTTAATTGCGGTTTTCCCTCCATGTTTGTGGATATTTTGTGTGCATAATTGCTGTGGTTACTCTTGATATTGTCACCAAAGCCGCTGTTACAAGGAGGTGGTAAGAGCTGGTTTTCAGTAAGGGGGCCCTCCCACCAGGATGAACTGACTGGAGCTGGGGAGATGAGAGGAAGAGTGAGTTGGGCTGATGAGCACAGTGGAAGTAGATAAGTGAGGAGAGCAGGAAATGGAGAGATAAATATAGGGAAAAAGGGATATCAAGAAAAAAGATGGATTTTGGTTGCTTCAGCTCTTCGAGAGGAATAAATCACAAAAAATGCAGAATCGTTGGACTGAGTCCCATTTCTTCCTTTCCTAATTGTCTAATTTGTGCATCCTTTCGAGGGGGAAATAAGTCACAACCTTTTGTAATTCAGTTAAGGTAAAAAATAAAAATAAAAGGATCTTAATTCTAGTCTTTTGTACAAATAATTTTTAAAGTAAAAAATAGAAACAGCTGGCAGTGCTAGCAATAACATTCAAAATTTCAGTTTCTAAATATTGGATATTAAAAAAGGTATGTAAAGAAAAACAATCCCCCCACATATGAACAGTTAAAACCAATTAATAAAAATAAATCAGACAGAAATCATGTGCTATATCTATAGCGATTTATGGCACAGGTGAACAGGACACCTGGCCAGGGTGGAATTTTTCCCCCAATGACTTACAGGGGGCAGCACGAATACTAAAAACAAAGAAAAGAAATAAAAAATCATGTGTGCCTTAAAAATGGTTACCATTATCTATCCTATCACTGTGTGGGGGATTGACAAATTGGAGCCCCTTGCAGCTGCAGACATTACTAGACTACAGTGCTGGTGTGATGTATCTGATAAGTCAGTAACTAATATCCAACAAATATATCACCTAAAAAAACTGTTTGTTTTTTTCTTTTGCTATAGATTATTTCCCTGAATGGAAATGGAAGAGAGCAAGTCAGAAGAGGTGAAGCAGGAAGGTTGGGGCACTGAGAGAGGAGAAACTCCCCGACATTAAATCAACCCAGTTTACCAGCTGCCATCCAGCATAGAAAAACTGCCTGAGCTATAACAATTGCTCTTTACCTCATGATTCATCTCAAGGGCTTTTAGGGCCAGCAAACATTTATTTAGTAAAACAATACAAGTCCAATAACA